GGCGAAATAATGGACGTGGCGGAGGTCGTGCTCCGCAACAGCAATGGCCTTCACCATATTACCCGCATCAGCAGTGGGCTTATCCGCCATACCCAAATCAATATCAACAATGGAGCTCCTTGCCATGGCAACCATGGGCTACACCACCTTGTCCGTATCCAACAGCAAGAAATCCAAAGGAACAACTCGGCATCCTTGGTCCCAAGCCATCTCATCAAGCTTATGTCGCCAACACAGCGCCAACCTCCTCATATGCTCCAAATCAAGCTTATGTCGCCAACACAGCGCCAACCTCCTCGCATGCTCCAACAGATATTCCAGCTGCCATGCATACTCTCTCACTTTCTACTCCTGATGATCAGTGGTACATGGACACCGGAGCAACCTCGCATATGACGGCCAACGGAGGTAATCTCTCGTCCTATTTCAATATGAGTAATAATATTACTGTCGGTAGTGGTCAAAATATTCCTGTAATTGGTTGTGGACATGCATCATTACCAAATTCCCTTCATTTACTAAAATTACCTAATATTTTACATGCACCAAAACTCATAAAAAATCTTATCTCTGTTCGTAAATTTACCATAGATAATGATGTGTCGGTTGAATTTGATCCTTTTGGTTTTTCTGTGAAGGATTTTCAGACAGGAATACTGTTAATGAGATGTAACAGTTCTGGTGACCTCTATCCCATTGCCACAAGACCACCTAATAAAACCTTACCACCATCCACCTTTGCCGCAATATCCACAGAATTATGGCACAACCGTTTAGGACATCCAGGAGCTACTATCTTAAGTTCTCTACACAGAGACAACTTTCTCCAATGTAACAAGTCTCAGAACAATTACTTTTGTAATTCATGCCCTCTTGGAAAACAAATAAAATTTCCCTTTTATAGCTCTGTGTCTCGTACTTTTATGCCTTTTGATATTGTGCACAGCGACCTCTGGACTTCACCAATTCTTAGTTCAGAAGGTCATCGTTACTATGTGTTATTTCTTGACGATTACACAAATTTTTTATAGACTTTTCCAATTCATACAAAATCTCAGGTTCATTCCATTTTTCTTCAATTTAGAACTCACATTGAAACACAATTTGAAAGAAAAATTAAATGTTTCCAATGTGACAATGGTAAAGAATATGATAACACTATGTTTCATAATTTTTGTAAAAAAAATGGAATGTCTTTTAGATTTTCGTGTCCTCACACCTCCTCACAAAATGGAAAAGCCGAAAGAAAAATTCGTACCATAAACAACATCATCCGTACCCTTCTCGCCCATGCCTCTTTACCTCCATCAATGTGGCATCATGCACTACACATGGCCACTTACCTACATAATATCCTTCCAAATAAAAAGCTTTCCCTTCAATCACCCACTAAAATACTCTACCAAAAAGATCCGGCCTATACTCACCTTCGTGTCTTTGGATGTCTTTGCTATCCTCTCATCCCGTCATCATATAGAAATAAGTTACAAGCTCGGTCTACACCTTGTGTCTTCTTAGGATATCCCTCAAATCATAGAGGATATAAATGCTATGATTTATCTAGCCGTAAAATATTTATTTCCCGGCATGTCATTTTTGATGAAACTAAGCTTCCGTTTTCTAATCCAAATGTTCCTACAACGGTTGGTTATAATTTTTTGGATGACGACACACCCTTCCTTCCATCCTATTCCTATAGTGCTCCCTCCTCTAATCATCAAAATCGCACTTCACCCCTAACTACACCAGTTCAAACAAACATTTACCAACCATCACCATCTTCTTTGAATTCGCCTTCGTCACCCTCCCACAATCCCACCTCACCAACCATAACATCAGCCCCATCCACAACATCACCTCTAAACCCATCATTACCAAATATCGTCTCATCCCCATCCACTACATCACTTCCGACTCCTCCACCTTCACAACAAAATCAGCCCCTCTCCCCTCAAATGACAACCAGAGCCCAACACGGTATCGTCAAACCTCACAAACTCTTCAATCTCCATACATCAACCTCAACCTCCATATCCCCTCTACCTACAAATCTCATTGATGCATTAAATGATCAAAATTGGAAAATGGCCATGAAAGACGAATATGATGCTCTTATTGAAAATAAGACGTGGGACTTAGTTCCTCGTCCGTCTAATGCTAATGTTATTCGAAGTTTGTGGATTTTCAGGCATAAAAAGAAATCTGACGGATCTTTTGAGAGATACAAAGCTCGCCTTGTAGGTAATGGTGCAAATCAACAAACAGGTATTGATTGTGGTGACACATTCAGCCCGGTGGTCAAACCGGCTACCATTCGAACGGTTCTAAGTGTTGCTTTATCTAAATCATGGTGTTTTCATCAATTAGATGTTAAAAATGCTTTCTTGCATGGAAACCTTCATGAAACCGTATACATGCATCAACCTCCTGGATTTCGTCATTCTCAATTTCCTGATCATGTCTGTTTATTGAAGAAATCTCTATATGGTCTCAAACAAGCACCTCGCGCCTGGTACCAGCGCTTTACTGATTATGTAGCTACAATGGGCTTCTCTCACAGTATTTCTGACCACTCTCTTTTTATATATCATCATGGCAATGATATAGCTTATATTCTTTTGTATGTGGATGGCATTATTCTTACTACATCATCTGACACTCTTAGAGAATCTATCATGGCACAATTGAGTTCCGAATTCTCCATGAAGGATCTGGGGCCTTTAAGTTATTTTCTGGGTATTTCTGTCACCAAACATCCCGAAGGCCTTTTTCTTTCTCAAAAGAAATATGCAGAAGAAATTATCGAACGAGCTGGTATGTCCTCCTGCAAACCATCCCCCACACCAGTAGACACAAAGGCGAAACTCAGTGGTTCATCCGGTAACCCTTACCATGATCCAACCGAATATCGTAGCCTTGCCGGAGCATTGCAATACTTAACATTCACTCGACCAGACATCTCATATGCAGTTCAGCAGGTATGTTTATTTATGCATGATACAAAAACTCAACACATGTCTGCCTTGAAACGCATTATTCGTTACATTAATGGTACCGTAGATCTCGGCCTTCATCTGTACCCTTCATCTGTCGACAAGCTCATTTCTTACACAGACGCAGATTGGGCCGGTTATCCTGACACAAGAAGATCTACCTCCGGCTACTGTGTTTATCTCGGTGACAACTTGATCTCATGGTCCGCAAAACGCCAACATACCTTGTCTCGTTCAAGTGCCGAAGCCGAATATAGAGGCGTAGCTAATGTTGTGTCTGAATCATGTTGGTTACGCAACTTACTCTTGAAACTATGTTGTCCTGTCACAAAAGCTACTCTGGTATATTGTGACAACATCAGCGCGGTTTATCTTTCCGACAATCCTGTTCAACATCAACGCACCAAACATATTGAAATGGATATACATTTCGTGCGTGAGAAAGATGCTTGCGGTCAAGTACGCGTTCTTCAAATTCCCTCGCGTTTTCAGATTGCTGACATCTTCACAAAGGGACTTCCGTTGCAACTCTTTGATGACTTTCGTGATAGTCTCAACATTCGTTCACCTCCAGTTTCGACTACGGGGGTGTATTAGATATGTAAATATAGAAAGATTATTATTAGTATTGATTACCAATGATTATTAGAATCATAACCACATATTTATACTGTGTATATAAATAACTATCACATGAATGAAAAGGCACGGCCTAAATTATCTTACAATATTTTAAGAATCTTTTGTCATAACATTCTCACTGATGGAACATTTTTTGTTTCCGTAGGAATGATTGATACATGGAACAAACTAAACAAAAAAAAAACCTTTTGTTAAAAATTAGCCTACACTTACATTAGCATGATTTACATTTAAACTTAATTCAAGCGAGAAGTGAGGCTTAGGAATTCATCTTCACCGCATGGAATTGTGAGACCACCCATGGGATGATCATATCCAAATTCTTCTTCAGCTTCGTTTAATAATTCTTGAAACAGTGATTGGTTCAAATATGAAATTGGAATCACGAAACGCCTCATTTTATCTCCAACATAGACGGCAAGATAGCCTTTAGGGACTTCAAATCCCTTGGTAGATCCTTGGGTTCTTGAAAATGATGCTCTTCTGATTATACTTGTTATACGGAAACCCATTGCTTTTTTATGTTAAAAGATTAGATGAGAAATAGATATTGAGTTGTGATATTTTAGGATGTAAAGAGACTTGTGTTGCTTGTGAAACCATGGAGTAGTGTGTATATATAGTTGTAATAGGGCCTAGTGAGGGAGAAGGGATCACATGGTATTGTCTAATAGAGGTCATTTTCAAGTATTAGGAAATTTAAGACAATGCAATGGTGAATGAAACCTGATGTCTGTTGTTGCCTTTTGTTATAGCTATTTCAATACTAGACATGCTTTAGACATCTCACATGTTTCTTCAAATTGACAATGCAACTAATATATATCTATCAGCTAAATATATATCAGATTTATGTGCAAATTGTGTAGGACCTGATTCATAGCATCTCAAAAACAGTGTTTGGAGACAACAAGAGAACCGATATTGAATACAAGATCACTAGGAACCACAGTTTATATTTTTGCAAGACAAACTCCATGAATTTTGTATACCAGAACAGAACTTTGTGGACCCGTTTCCCTTACTACATAAGTAACAAGGTCAATTAAACTTGGATAAGCTTGTTTTCAGGTGGGGTAATATATTGATTTTTGTATTATAAGGTGGGATTTGTATTATCTATAATATCGGAAAATTCATAGGTAGACATCTTAGACAGTACCATGTGGTTTTCTAGTCTATTGTATAGCCTTACTTCCCCAATCATTCAAGTAACCAATGATTTCTCAATATTGTTTTATTTTATCTATATATATTTATGGTTACAAGCATTTAGGACCAACTCAATTTATTCACACCCTAAAACACTCCACTTCCAAAAACATGGTTATAGTTTTTAAAGAGTTGTCTTAAAACCAATTCTTCTCAAGTTTTAGCACATATAACAATGGGTTTTCTTTTCCCTGGTATCATCAGAAGCGCATCATTTTCTGCAAAACGATGAGTTTCAAAAGGTATAGTGCTGCCAAAAGGATAATGTTGCTGTGTATGTTGGAGAGAAACAAAAGCTATTTGTGATCCCAATATCATACTTGAACCAACCGTCATTTCAAGACTTGCTAAGTCAAGCCGAGGAAGAGTTTGGATACGATCATCTGATGGGTGGTCTCACCATTCCATGCACACAACATGTATTTATAACTTGTGTCTTGAATGGACTACGAAACTAACACCAAAAGAGACTGACATAGCTTAGTAGAGATGTTTTTTGTAAATTAGGATGAGAAAAAAATTGTAAAGAGTTGAATGCATCTTATAGCAATTTGTAAAGATGAGAAAAAATGCACATTACAATGACAAATTTAGAGTTTAATTATAATATGAACTAGATTAAGACTAGATAAAGTTTTTTTAATTAAAATTTTAATACAAAATAAGGTTAATCAACTTATTTTGTAATATTTTATTTTAAATTATATATGTGTTTTAGATGAAATAATTATGTGAATTAGACACTATTAAAAAGGTATATTTTAAGTGAAAGAAAATATATGTTTGGAACAGAAAAATAATATGGTAGCTTTTCATAATTTATATTTTTTATAGGTTATTTTTATAAGAGAAAATCATATTTAAGAGAAGAATTTTTAGTAGTAAAATATGTTAGCTTTATTCTATGAAAGTTTATATAATAGTTTAACAATTGTTTTGACTTTCATTTGAACAAATATTATGATCTAAAATATTTATTTATATCATTTTTTAAGTAAGAAGCCATGTCTTTACGGATTCTTTTAAGTATTTAATTTTTCTAGTTTTCAGTAGTTAAGTTATCTATAATATATTTTTAGCATTAATTGTTATAAGTTTCTAATTTAATAATTCAATGTCTTTTAATTGATTAAAAATGTTAAAATTTATATGTAGGTTGTTATTCATCATAATATTTTTAAAAATCATGTAATGGTTAACTTTTATTATTATATAGAAACAAAATCTGACAACGTTTTAAATTTCTATTAAAGTCATATATTATTGTTTAAAAAAAGGAAAATTTATGAAATTAAAAATTCATATTATTGTAAATTAATGGTATGGAACTATACAAGTAAATGTCGTACTTAAATTCTATAATAAGTTATGATATTTTTCTATAAAGAATAAAAGTTATTAAAATATGTATTAAATTGTATTTAAATTATTTTTATATTAGAGTTAAAAGTATGGAATATTCAAAGTTAATCCTAATATATTTTTAAAACTGAAAGATATGTTTTAATGTATATTTATAATATGAAATTATACAATGAATTTAATAATTAAATTATGTAATGGGTTTTTAATAAATAAATTTAAAGTAAATAATAAAATACATGACTATCGCGATATAAGTTTTATTGTAAATTTATTGCATTAAATTGGTCAATAAATTCTTTATAAACAATAGTAAAGGGTAATAGATTATTTATAAATATATGTTATAGGGTAATATATTATAAAAGAAAGTCATAATCTAGCTGATCTTACCGGATCAGACTTGGACCGTCACGACTGGTTCCGAGCGAAAGTTGAACGAGATGGGAATACCTGCAAGGCACTCCGATGCTAAAGGGAGTGATGGTACGAGCAAGGCAAAAAGTGTGTGTATGGGTACAAGAATGAATACCTGATCCTCTAGGAATAGAGGATATTTATAGCCCCCAGCGCGGGGCCAAGGTCCCTTCATTGGGCCGACCAGGACTGACCCAATAAAGAAATTGCCAGGTTCTACGTGTGTAGTGGGGACCCGCACGTGGTCCCCTTTCTGGTGATGCTCTGCGAGAAGTACGGAGGGACGAGAACGCGGTCTTTCCGGAGTTCAGGTGATGGAGTAACGGTTATAGTCTACCCTACGAGGAGGGTGCTCGAGCAGGGCTCGAGCTGGATTTCATGTGGTCGAGGACGTCATGTTCGTGGGCAGCGGCAGGCACGACTGCAACTTCTGGTCGACGCGCTGGCGAGAATCTTCGGGCGCGCGCTCCTTGAAGAGTTGTTTGGATTGGGCCTTTGTTCTTGCTCTTGGGCCAGGACGGGCCCAGTCCAGAACAGGAGTCCCCCAAGTCGTGGCTCCTGGAGCAGGAGTTATGACTTGATCTCAGCTCGTCTTTGTCACGGGGCCTTATGCTCGGCTAGGATATTTGCTTCCCCGTGGTGGCTCAAGGAGTTTCTCACGTGTTGCGTTCGTGAGAATCCCTTTCGAGGCGTGCTCGGGGGATTCTTTGCGGGCTGTGCTCGTTGGGTATACGAGGCAACCCTTGGGAACCGTGACGCCACCCTAGTGAAAGTATAGTCATCATTGCCTAGGGGAGTAGACGTCGAGGAGGGGAAGCTCGTGGTTCCCCGGGGTGACGTTTCGTATTCCACGTCATCCTTATAAATAGGATCCTTGGGTCCCATAATCTGTTTTTCCTCTTCGCGCTTCTCCTCCTTCCTCTGCCTTTTCCGCCGCTGTTTTTCTAGAATTTCGTAGGACCACCGTGCCTTCCGTCGTTGATTTTCTTCCCTTCCGCCGTACATCCTTCCTAACTTCCAAGTAAGCATTTATCCCTCATATTTCTCTCTACTGTAGGTAGCAATTTCCATTATTCGTTTGTTAGAAATCCGTATCTGGGATTAGCGCCCGGTAACTTCGTGTTCAAGCCCGGTAGATCCATGTTTGTGCCCGGTAAACGCATGCTTGTGCCCGGTAAACACATAGCTTTAGGTATGTGATTCGTGATGCTGCCCGGGATCTTCATGGTTTTGGGCGCATAACCTATGATATTGCCCGGTAAACCCATAGTTCTAGGTTCAGGATTCATGATATTGCTCGTCATATTCATAGTTTAGGTTGACGTACTCATGACTGGCCGGGACGTTGGCCCTTTTAGGAAGTAAGTAGGACGACTCATCGCGGCACCTTAGCGTGGGGGAGGTGAAACCAGGCTCTTGTTCGAGTCCTCGACGATTTAACGCGCGCGGAGTGTGACTTGGCTTGTCGCGCCCTTCTTCCCGTCAGTTACGGCGAGCGTATGGATTTGCTCTCGAATTTCACCGGTTTCCTGTGCTTTGCAGGTAAAATGGCTGATGAACTGGAGTCTCCGGGGCGCAACGAGGTCGAGGACCAGAGTGCCGAGGAGAATGTAACTCTAATTGATACCGTTGATGACCCTTTGCTGGATTGGGTGGGCGCCGAGCCCAGAGGGATTGCATCGGCATATAGTCGGCGCAGTCGGAGTGCCTACACTATCGTCGAACATGGCGGTAGTCAGCCGGGCTTCCAGAAAAACTTTGTGGTCACCAGACCGTCTCTTGACGCGCGGATATGCTCGGAGTTCTCTGAGTATGGGTTTCCCATGTACGAAATCGCGTTCAAGGACCTCGGTCTCAAGCTCCCCTTTAGTGATTTCTAGGTCGGGGTATTCAGTCATCTAGAGTTGGCCCCCTCGCAGCTTCATCCCAACTCGATCGCCTTTCTTCGGGCGTTCGAGCTGACGTGTCGCTTTTTAAGGATTGGGGCGACCATCCCTCTCTTCTTCAGAGTTTTTCATTTGCAACGCCAGTCTCGGGGAGGTAGGCATAGTTGGGTTTCCCTGAAACAGTCGAAGAGGCTGTTCAGGATGTACATGAATTCGGTCCGTGGTTTCAAGGACAAATGGTATGTCATGCGTCCGATCACCCAGACTGCTCTGGATTCTGTATATGAAGAAGAGACTGCAGTGATCGGCGATAATGGGGAGCCTCTTATGGACGATGAGGATCGCCCGGTGTTGGTGCGCATAGCTAAGTTCCCATTGCATTGGAGCTCGCGCCACTATGAGCATGGTACCGGGCATTATCATACGCCCGCGGGAGGGATGAGTACCGAGGACGAGGAAGCCTACGGTACCCTTTGCAGATATGTCAACAGTTTCTTCCCTTCCCGGTGGGCCACGAGGGAGGGAAAGGACATTCTCGATGAGGATGGTTACCCGACCTTCGAGGCCCGCCCTATAGATACCAAGGCGCTTGTGGAGTTCCAGTCCTACGGGCAGGCCGCGAACCTACTAGGTTACTTTTTGTCTTATAGTTTTGTTCTAGTTTCTTCGTTTGTTACTTGCTCGTAGCTAACCCAGGTTTTCTTTTTTGCAGGTCATATGGTCGGGAGAAAGGAGAGGCTTCTAAAATTTACACAGGATAAGAAAGTCAACAAAAGGATGGTGCGAGCTCCACAGGCAACGAGGATGGGCCCGCCAACTAGTTCGTGTGATGCTTCTGGCGGGTCCCCAGACTCTCAGGACGTCGAGCAACATATTGATCTGATACTGAGGAAGAGAAACCGGGTAGAGAGCCAGCCGGAAGTCAGCGACGAGTCTGGCGCGGTGAGGGCCTTTGGCTTGCCCCCTGCTTTAAAGAGGAAGGCTTCTTCGAGGGGTTTCCCTTGACAGTAAGTGCCGAGGAGGCTAAGACCATCAGGCGGCTAAATAAAGAAAGTCGGAGAAAGCATCTGGCCGCCAGTATGGTCGGGATGGTCAAGATGGCCGAGATGGCCGTTGTCCTCGTTGAGGAGGGGGCAGACTCTGACCGCGTCAAAGAACTGGAGCTGGAGAAAACTGCCCTTGTTGCGAGCTCTCGAAAGTTGAAGGCTGCTCTGGAGCGATCTGAGGAGATGTTCCGCGAGCAGCCCGAGCTGCTGGCCGTGGAGAAGGAGAACTCGGGGAAGGTTGCCGAGGAGAGGGACTGTTTTCGCTTGGACCGGGAACGCTTGGGGGCCGATAACGAGCGTCTGGCCAAAGAAGTCGAGGATCTGAAGGCCGCCATGCTCCCCGTCGAAGATGAGTCGGAGGAGACAGCCCCCTTGCAAAGTCGCTCGGATCTGGTCGCGCGGATTCATCTCCTCGAAACGGACTGTGTTAGCGCCTTGGCGGATGGTTTTAAAGCCACGGTTAGCCAACTTACTTTATTGAATCCTGGTTTGAATACCGAGGGGGTGGGTTTCATGTCCCAGATCATCGACGGCCAGGTCGTGCCTCCGCCCGAGTCTCCTGTCGTGGATGCTGGTAGCCCCGGGGAAGTCTAGCCGTGGAATTCTGGTCGGGCATGCGCGCCTG